AGGGTTCAGCGCATTCAGGCGTAGGCCCTTCGGGGTTATACCAGGAGAAGTATGGTTTTGGAAGTGACGGCAAGGAAGGTATGGGAGAAATAGAAGTGGAGGATCGCACAGAGGCTAGCTGTAGCTAACTGCCAGCGCCGAGCGCCAGAAGCTTTGATCCGATTGACATCACATAGTCCAGTGCATGATTGGCCAACTGAGAAGAGAGGAGATGAATTCCATCTTTACAAGATCCTGTCCAAAGCCCACAGCTCGGCCCAGTTCTGAGGAGCTGATGTTTCCCGCAGGTCAAGAGGGCTCCGGCGGTGGTGCCGATGAGTGGAGCCAGTCTCATGAACGATGGCTGCGAGAGGTTCCTCCGGCCGTTCCGACAAGTGATTCCTCCGGGCATTTCCGGTCCACCGCGGTGCCAAATTTGTTCTGGGTGTTCTCGTCATTGCGATTTGAACAGCTGCTCTTCTCGAGAATTCGAAGTCATGGGGACAACAGCAGCGAAACCAGCTTGCACACCTCCAGCGCCGAAGGCCATGACATGAACGCACCCACAGGCGCGGGCGCATGATTGGGGAGGACAGTGCAGGATGCCATGGGGGTTTCCGAAAATAGGGGATCCTAATATAGTATCCTGTTTAGTAGGATCCTGATTATAAGAACCACCAAATAAGGTACCCCTAATTTTCGGAAACTCCCAGATCATGGACATAGCGGAGCATGTAACAAATTTGGGCGAGGGCAAGTATAGCAAGTTCCCTTTGAAGTCCGAGCAAGTTGGGATTGGACATCGAGGCTTGCAAATCGCCTTGTGATTCGATAGTAACACTTATCGGACCCTTGTAGTAACCCGCAGAGACAGCCTTCAGAGTAACCTTCGTAGTGATCCTTATAATATAAAAGCCCTTCCAGGAACCCTGAAAAGCACATCCACTGGGGGCTGCATCACGGACAAGCAAAGCCGTCGTTCAAAAGCCGGGAAGTATTTCTTTTCACAGGGCATGTTTGGGACGGGCATGGGGTGGAACTGCTACCACAATCTCAGAGTACGTGCCGCAACTGATTTCTTGGATGTGTGGGGTCTCCATCTGATTGGATGAGTGCGGCTTCGACCGAAGCCAGCTTCCTGAACACTTGCTGAGAAATTCGGGGTAAGGAAACCTGGAAGATCATGGTGCCTCCACGAACCACTCGTCATGGATGTCGTCCTGAGCTGGGCGTCTAGCTGCAAACTGATCTGTGGCCAGGCTGCGCAGCCCCAAACCCTATGTGCTTGAAGCGTCGCTATGACCCAATATAGGGGCCGTCAAAGTTTTGGATCTGATTCCGAGGATGTCATAGCAATACTCTAGCGAGCCCTTTGGACTAGTGATACTCCTTACTCAGGTGTCTATACCACCTCGCATGCTCAAGTGAGAGCAGGCCCTGTAAGGACGGGGCGAGCTGCACCTCGCCTTCCTCTGTACCTGGCGCTCTTCTGCTACGCACATTTCTCTTGAAAAACTGTAGATCGCGGGATGCGCTTGCGGCGGAGCAGCATGAACCCCAAATCGGCAGACATTTATCATCAGCCGGGAACCTCCCCGTGAAAATGGCAAGAAGCACAAAACCCCGACCTGCAAGCAGAAAGAGATTGCAGGCCTTCAGGTTGGGACCCCAGGGGTTCCATGCCACGAGCCTCGGCATGCAAGGGATTTCGGATTCAGGAATGACGCAGAGTGAGCTGGCGTATCTCTGAGCACGAGTTTATGTTTCAGGCGGTAAAGAATCCACAGCTGCGTACTGTTTAAACCAGTGCAAAACGTTCACTAGACCTCTGATTGGCATCTGTCATCACAGCGCATCAATACAACAATTCGACATGGGCTCCCTCGACATGCACAACAGCCAGTGACGACGATAAGCGTCTAAACATCGGCTGAAACTGGCATCCCCCCCCCCCCCCCCAACCAAATGCCTCCGCAACTGAAGCCCGAGCTCGAAACAGCTTGAAAGAATCATCATTGGCCATGTCCCTCGTTTTGGACTCTTTATCAGCTCTGGCGGATAGCGTGCTGCAGACTTGGAGCTACACATGCCATGCCCAGTGGGGCTTGTGCTGGTCCTTCTTCAATCTATCGAGGTACATTGAGGTACATCTGGACGTCAAACCTCAATCTTTGTCAAGAACCATTGGCTCCCAACCTGTCAAGCATGTTTACCCGAAGTTGCCAAATGACTCAGAAGAACTCTGAGATGGAAAGCATATTGAAAGGAAGCAATAACACTCCGATGGCCAAATAGGTGAAGCCTTCTCAACTCCTCTGATAGAGCCCCAGAAGTAGTCTAGTTGGTCGACAGTGAAGCCCTGAACCCACAAGCCTAACATCTAGCGGCTAGCACCGACACAGCATCATGGCCCTGCAAACTGGCGCTGACGGCATCGGATCATCTGTACTGCCCCTGTCTTTGGCAGCCAAGCGCAGCCAACTTGCTGGGCGAATTTGGCCCACCCGCTGTGTCTGTGATAGCAGTCATCAGCAGAAACACTGCATCACTGTTGGTCTCCTTCTGCCTCCCTTGATCGAAGCCGATGCTGGTGCATACAAGTGCCTCCAACTTCTTATTATGGCGACATCAACTACATCGACATTACTGCGCCAAGTCATCGTACATCTTGCTGCCCTTGCTACTGATGAATGGTCGCATGACGAGTGGTAGTGGTAGGTGTAGTGGAAGCGGTAGTGTTGGCAGTACAGTCATCGTAGCCGTCGTCGTCGTAGTAGTAGTCGTAGTCATAGTCGTAGTAGTCGTCGTCGTCGTGGTCGTGGTCGTGGTGGTAGTGGCGTAGTAGCAACTAGTAGTAGTGGTAGTAGTGGTAGTAGTGGTAGTAGTGGTAGTAGTGGTAGTAGTGGTAGTAGTAGTGGTAGTAGTAGTAGTAGTAGTAGTAGTAGTGGTAGTAGTACCTAGTAGTAGTAGTAGTAGTAGTAGTAGTAGTAGTAGTAGTAGTAGTAGCAGCAGCAGCAGCACTAGCAGCAGCAGCAGCAGCAGCAGCAGCAGCAGCAGTAGTGCTAGTGGCAAGTATTTGATAGTAGTGCTTCGAAGAATGCAGTAGCAGTTAGTGGTAGTTGACCGTATTTTTACGAGGTAGCCGCAGTTGTTGTTGTTATTGTCGGCGCTTTGTAGCTTGTCCCTGCTGCGAGATGCGACTATCGCAAACACACCGGCATCCAACCGAATTCAATCATTCTTGGCTGAGCTGTGAGTTGATGACCTTGCCAGCTGGCAGATGCGGACCACAAGCCTTCCACAACATTTCCGGAGTGCATCCCCAGCATGCATGAACCTTCAGGTCTAAGTAGTAGCAGCTTGGCAGGTGCCCAATTCGCGCACAACTTTGCTGTGCCGCTCATTGAGGATCTTCCTGCCGGGTCGCGGGGTCAATCCAAAGCTTTCGTAGATGAAGCCCTACCAGAATCTACCTTTTGTTGCCCGCCGGTCTTTGCGAAGAAAATGCTTAATGGAAGCAGCAGACATGGTACGAATGACATGCAGCCATGCAAGCAACTAACACCTGATTGTAAGACTGAAGATGAAAAGAAAGAAACCAAGGCTTAAGCACATCGCTGTGTGCCGAAAGGAATACACTAATAGAAAACATTTGCACCTAAATTTTACATATGTATGGATATCATATATACATATGTAGACACATATGCAGCTGCATCTATACACATGTATACATGCGAACTTGCCGCACAAAGTCATAATTAATGTTTTGCTTCACGAGTAATCAACATGGGACCTTTGCAACTATGCTGATGGAACCATAAACAGCAACGCAAAAGGCATCAGCCGAAGTAGGACGAAGCTGTAGCAGCAGCAGGACGAGGTAGTAGTGGTCGTGGTGGTGGTGCTGGTGGTGCTGGTGGTGCTGGTGGTGCCGGTGGTGCCGGTGGTGGTGGTGGTGGTGGTGGTGGTGGTGGTGGTGGTGGTGGTGGTGGTGGTGCCGGTGGTGCCGGTGGTGCCGGTGGTGCCGGTGGTGGTGGTGGTGGTGGTGGTGGTGGTGGTGGTGGTGGTGGTGGTGGTGGTGGTGGTGGTGGTGGTGGTGGTGGTGGTGGTGGTGGCGGTGGTGGCACCGGTAGATGTAGTTGCAGAAGCAGGAGGAGGACAAGGAGGAGGAGGAGAAGGAGGAGGAGGAAGAGGACGAGGCGGAGCGGCAGCAGCACCCAAGCAGCTGAAACACGAGAAGCAGCCGCCGTCGTGGCAATAACAGGAAGGCTCGTCATCTGACATTTCTCCTGTATCTTCAACAATCAATTCCAACACCGAACTCTGGCCCTGCCTTCTGTGCTTCAAGCTGCAGCTTGGATCGCTAGCTGTGCAGGTTGGCAATCTGGGCGCCAGTGTGAATGGCAAGCAGCTCCTCAGCCAAGGGAGGGCACAGATCCCTGTTTAGCAGACCTTCCAATGGAGGTATCTAGAATCTAGACCACAGCAATCACGTCTGGATAGTCTATCCATTTCTGGACTTCTTTAGTTCGTTCGTTGCCCAGTTTACTAGGGCTCGGCGCGGGAATTTGCGGTTTCGTGCCCAGTGATGTTTGAAACTGAAGGACAAGTCTGGGGGCAACGAGGATTGTGTTGGATAACAGGCCAGTACTGATGACCAGTACAACTACGAGTGATGCTACGAACCAGGACGGGAGGTGTCCAACAAAGATGCTAGTTAGTACAGTAGCAGCACTTAGGCCACTCAATACTAGCCCTGGGGTTTGATCCTGGGGAGTCTCGAGCACAATGACTTTATTGATTGCGGATTTCTGCGGTTTCTGCCAAATAATTACGGTGGTTTAGGGTGCGTGTAACACATCGATGGCAAACGTGTCCCTGACTGCTGCCGCTTTGCGCTTTGCAAATAAGGGTGCTTTGCAGAATCACCCCATGGTCCCACAGTACCCCGCAGCCTGTGCGACACACAAAACCGTGAACCCCTATAGAATAAATTTAGGAGGCCCTAAAACCCAGCTTCATCTTCGGAGGGGTGTGGACTGCGGCTGGGCAGCTCCCTGCGTGACGGAGCCATGCTGGATCACTCCTTCCTCGTCCACCTCCACCTCCCTGGGGCAACTGCTTTGGTCCCAGCCCTTCTGCGTGTGGAGCGAGGACATGTCGCAATATCGACCCTGGGGCAGCGCGATCTTGAGGCCTGTCAAATCCCAAGTCCCACCAACCCCAGCCACATCCTCATCTTCGTCCTCTCTCCTGCCACGCGTGAGTGCGACGAAGCAGTCACCACCCAGGCGGAAGGCGAGACGACCGATGCCGACGCCTTCAGTCTTGCCGCCCTCCCACTTCTCTGACACCGCATGTTGTCGACAGGCCTTTCGAAAGTGCATCATGCCTGCCACGCCCTGCCATCGGTGTTCACAAATCCACCGCCTCTCTCTGGCAGCCGACTTGGGTAGAGGAGAGACTGTTGGGGCCGGCATGCACTGGGCGTGTCCGTCCTCATCGTAGACGGAGTCTGGTGTGCAGTGGTCACCATCCGACTTGTCACAGCCTGGCGGCCCATGTGTAAGATCCCGCCATCCGTAGCCACCCCAGATCAGCACCTTCTCCCCGAACGGCCAGGACAGGAAGAACTTCTGCTGCTGGTGGAAGGCCAGGCCGTTCTTGTACGTAGCGATTTCGGGATCGGAATCCTTGCTGCGCCCGTCGTGGTAAGCAAAGGGATAGACGGCCATGTCCTGATGAAGGGTGTGGCAATTACTTATTAAGAGCAACAGATGCTCTTCCAAGCATGGGCTCATATCGCAGCCTGGTGACATGATTCAAACGGCTGGGTCTAGAGTCTAGAGTCTAGATCCTATGCATAGCTCCTGGTGCTAACTCGGTCCTGGGTGATTCCGAAGACACCACTCTCCAGCTGAAGGAGCTCGGGGAGCTCCGTAGCGTTCTTGCCCGCAAGACGGTTCCTGAACGCACCCCTGTACTGACAAAGGGCAACCAGGCGCTCGGTGAGTCTCAAACTTCAGTGCAGTCATCGCCCCCCTCAAACTTACAGAAGGCCCTGTTCATCTGAATCTACCGAACCTTTTCGATCCTTTCCGGGGGTTCGCAGGTAGGCCGCGCAACTCATACAGGGCCGTTCTGGCAACTGCTGGGGCATTGAAGCAGCTGCAAGCTCGGGCGCGACATGCTTGCCATGCTCCCGTTTTGACTCGGAACGGGGAGCTGCCAATCTCATCGTGAATGGATGCTAACTCAAAGCTGCTACGAAACGAACAGTTGTGTCCAAGCGTCACCAAATGCCAGCGGTAGGCCACATCCCTGTAAAGGCCGACGTACTCCGTTCGGTCATGTGGTGGATATTCACCCCACCACTCTTGGTAGACGAGATCCCACGGAAGCCTGTTGACCATGGCCTCGGATGCCACAGCGATGAACTCGCAAGTCCCCAACCTAAGCAACCTCTCTAAATCCTTGAAAACCCCATGCCCCCCCCCCCCCCTTGAAGAATTGCCATTACTTCTCATAATCCCTTCCATTCCCTATTAAAGCATTAGAAGTATCATTATAGCATTATAGAGTAGCAGAACCCCAAAGCAAACCCCGATCCCCACTTCGAAGGCCCGAGAAAGCCAGGGCCCGGGCGGCCAGCTCGTAAACGTGGTGGTAGATGGCAGCATCCACGCGAAGGGCGGTGACACCAATGTGGAAAAGATCCTTCAGAGCGTGTCTCTCTCTCTTTTTATTGAGCCCTCTTTTTCCTCTGCCTGGTTAGGTTCGGAGCCTCTCTGGAGTCTAGGGTTGAATGAAGCATCTTTCGGGCAAAGCTTGGGTTTGCAAGCGGCCAGCTCCGTTCAGAGGGAGGCACAGACGAATGCCCAACCGAGACCGAGAATGCCACGGCAGGGGGGTGATCACGTACCCTTCCGGACCTGCCCCTGCAACATCTTCGAGATCGCTGGCCTCCAGGTGTTTGACTTGCATCTCACGGACTTCCTCCAACTCTGTGGCGAAGTCCGGCAACGCGTACCTCTTGTCTGGTCTAAGAGGGACTTGTTTCTTGAAGAAGCGCTGCAGTGCACATGCTAGAACTAACTACAAACTCCAGCTGGGTGCCTTTTTTGATTGCTGGCTTCCCTGACCCTGCGACAGCAGTGTCTAGCAATGTATGCTGCGCACATGTCGCAAGGAGTGCAATCATCGTCCGGGCAGAGCCACCCAGTCTGCGGCCCCACCTGCCGAAGCAAGGCATGAAATTATTGGACTGCGCTGACGGATCTTCGTCATGGTCGCAAAGAATCACCACATTCGCACCACTCTCGTCCCCTCGGCTGCCTGACACCATGGCTCCATGGCATCATCCTGGCAAGGCTGGACCAAATTCCTGCTAAATTCATGTAAGGACTAGTCTTCGACATGCGGCATGGACCGAAACTCTCGAGAAATAACATGATTAAGCACTGCAGCTCTGGCCGCCTTGGCAAGCACCAACAAACCAGCGTTGGTAACTCCCCTCAATTGGAGAAGAATCGCCTGCATGCCTGCATGCATTCCTAGGTCCGAACGTACTTGTCCCTATCTATATATATATATATATACATACATATATACATAGATATGTATGTATGTATAGATAGGTAGATATAGATATGTGTGTGTGTGCACATACCTGCATGTATATGTATCCTTTGTATGTGTACATGTGTACAATGTACACATACGTGTATATACATATGCATACACACTGATGCCGACAAACTTCGTATGCGTTATGTATTCACGGTACATGAAGATTGTTGATCCCTTTTCACATGCAGCCCGGCAGTACGGTCCTTCTTGTGGTGGAAATGGCGCGGTGAGGCCGCATCCCAGCCCTTGGCACCCTGCTGCATGCGATTGCCGTACCTCGATGGCGCGCCATTATTGGGGCCTTAATGCTTAGAATGGGGTTTTGGGGGGTACATTATACTATAATAATAAAAATAATAAAAAGCAACCCCCACAATAGTACTGGCATTTATTTTGGCCCCTATATTGGACGAATCCAATGTCCGTTGAAAGGAGCCCAGGGCTGCGAAAATCGGCGGTCCATGCGAGGGCTCGGGGTTTGAGGACACTGAGCCGAGTAGGGTCAGGACCGTAAGGGCCGTTCTGCTTGCAGACTGCACAAGCCGTTTCGGGCTCGGGCCAGAAGCTGGCCCCGCATTTTCTACCTACTGCACTACTACGTTGTTCGAAACGACAATGACAACGGGATCGCTGGATCCCGAAGCATTCCCAATACTGCCTCATGGCACGTGATGTCGCTACAGTTGCCGAAGTAACTCAGCAAAATTTGAGCAGGAGCGATGGGGCGGTATCTCAACTACTCGGCCAAGAATAGGACTAGGCCTGAACCAAACTGTGGGTAGCAATCCCAACTGGTTGTATTTACGATTTCAAGTTTGTGGCGGCGAGAGGCAGCTAACCCTGGCACATACTCTCGAGCAGCCCGAGTGAAGCTTCCGTATCAAACTACCTGTTTAACTACTTCCGCACCGTGGTACCCCATAAGATGACTGATGACTTAACGATGTCACTCGGCCATGGGACCTGCTTCCGCCCCATCCGACGCATGGCATGTCCTCGGCGGTTGCTGGACTTCGATGGCCATCTCGGGGGATGGGCTCATGCAACTCTTCTTCGTATCTACGACTAGCTGGGGTAGCAGGAAGCGGGGAGCTGATCCACCGCGCGTATTGACCTTCTTCTGTATGACACTGCGCATGTTCACGTAAGTGTATATATATATATATATACATATACATGTGTGTGTATGTGTACATTCTACTGTACTACCTGTTGTGGCGTATGATCCTGCGACAACTCTGCCAACGACAAGAGGCCGACTCTGTCGTCCAGTTGGCCTTCTTGTGCTTCATCTGCCTTGCCTTCCGACCTTGGCATAGCAAGATCTGAGGTAACAGCAGCTTGATGATTGCTAGATGGGAGTAGCACGTAGCAGTGGCGATGTCTCATACCCTCAACTTTGCAGGAGACAGGTTAGATGATAAATGGTAGGTTTCCTCTCCAGCTCAAGGCTAGCCACATGGAGCAGCCATGTGGTTCATGAGAATGTCCACGATGACCTGCATTCGGCTCATGAATTTCGGTCGGAGAGGCTGCAAATTGAGGTCAAGAATATCTCTCGTGCAGTGCTCAAGAAGAGCACCATCCCAGGTTGTACCCTCACCCTTGGATCCTGACTCTGCCTTTGCTCAATGTTTAGGGGTTAGCGTGACTCTGCCTTTGCTGAAAAGTATTAAAACCCAGAAACTGCCAGCAAGCATTCGCAACCGAGTTTTCAGATCACCAAGCCTGCACGCCAGCTGCCCGACATGTCGCCACCATAGCCCTGGGCCAAGCTCGCCCCGATAAGCACGGACTTCATGCTCTCTGATAGATGGCACCCGGATACAGCGGACGCCGTGCATGCACTCATTTGATCGAAGTGTCACAGATTTCTCGCTGAGATTATAGCTTCAGCAGGGTTGATTTCCGGGCTTGCCTTATTGTTGCAATTCCGATATTTAAGCTGTTGTTTCTTCTGTTGTTACCACTTGTGTCGAGTCGTTGTGTTACCCAATATTGCGATAGGCGTGGCTCTGTGTCGACGTATTCGAGTGTGAATCTGATAACGGGAACAGGCATGATGACGGCTATGCGATGCTGAGCGAGTGATTTTGAGTGCTACGTACCAGGCACTTCGGAAAATATGCTATCTCCACAAACCCTAAGTATTGGGACTCCTAACTTCGAACACCCCCGGAAACAAAACCTGACCAACTTCTATACATGATCCCGGTTCGGCCGCCCCCCCCCTCCCCCCCCCTCCCCCCCCCCAAAGGTTCCTCCTCCCCCCTGAGGTGTGGTGTGGTTTGGGTTTCCTGCGTGGGTCTGCTTGGCGTGTGAGCCCTCGTGTGGCAAAAAGCTTGCAGAGTCACACACAAATCGGCTTGCGGAGCTGGGGGGTGGGGGGGGGGATACCATTGGGGGGGGGGGGGGGGGGGGGGTGAACCGAGAACCGGGATCATATATAAGAAACTGCATAACGACCCTGAGTCACTGAGGTACCAAGAGCCCTCAACCCGCTGAAGCCCGCATAGAACATGGAACCTGAGAGCCGCACCCACCCTCATATACATAGCTATTGACTGATTGGTTGATGGATACAAACATTTAATTTCCATATACCGACATGTTTATCTAAGATTTGCTCATCTGTTGCTTTTTGAAGTTATTGGTTTGTGTGCTTACTTTTGTGTGCCGGCCTGAAGTCTTCCTCAGTGCCCGAGCGCGTGTCCAGGCCGGCCGAGACGGGTTGGTACTTCACCCACCACTGGTAGCCCAAGACCTGGGCTCGAGTTTGTAGGCCATTTCGGCACCCAAGAAAAACGCTAGGTTAATTACGTCTCGGGGAATGTATCTTTTGCATCTTGGCTGAGCTTTCAAGAAGATGGCATGCGACTGCTTGGAACATAACAACCCAGAGACCACCCAATCAGAGCCGCTTCCTTCCGACCTACCGTAGCACATGCAGGCCGCCTCAAAACACGGTGTATAACACGTGTACCGACCGCACTCCAGCACTCAACTGAGGGGCATGTTCCGTGACAGGGGCAACTTGCACGGCATCAAAGCCGTTCGGGGCCAGATATTCTGTGCATTCTTTGGCAATGTCCTTGTAGTTCCACTCCATCCTCAGTGCACCAATCCGCATCGGTATCAGTATCATGATACACCGAATCAATGGCAACACATGTAAATTCCGAGCCGTACTACCAGCGACATAGGCCAAGGCACAACTTGACGAAGACGGTGGACCTCACCTCTTCACCGTGGAGGCCACCCTTGCCCGGTTGGTAGCCACAGAAGCTGCTGAACACAGCGGCACGGTCGTTCCTTTGGCCAAGGCGCCGTTGGGTGAGCCCTTCCGTGCCTTCGCAGGCTGTGGAGGTCCAAATCTGCTGGTTCTCGAAGCCACAGGTACAACCAGGGCAGACCGAGATCTGAGCTTCTGTACACAACTGGAGACCACTCTGCTGACAAAGGGCGGCTGCTTCAGAAAAGTTCTTTCGGGCATGGCAGCCGTATGTATCCTCAGGCACAGCGCCTTCATCGGAGCAGCACCGAACAGCAGCTTGCGCACCCGGCCTGCTGCACACAGCGTGGCTGGATGGATCTGACACCGTCTTGTGGAATTGGACGAGCTCGGAGCTATACTCCAAGCTTGCGCTGGACCTGTTAACAAGCTCCAGCATCGTCTCCGGCGTGGTGCCGTAGCCGACCGCAGACACGAACCCGTCCTGGTTTGCTGAGACGTATGTGTCGTGAAAAGTTCGCAAAGCCAACTTGCCGGCGTCTTGCTGGACAATTTCGAACTCTTCCCAATCATCCCAGTGCTCCGTTACGGCAGCCAAATGTCCGCCAGGTTCTGCTTTCAGGTACCTATCATTCTGTGCCTTCAATACAAACCTGCCGCCACTGCCGGGCATCAGCAGGAACAGGGCTTCTGGCACGAATGCTTGCTCGTCGGCCCTCATCGTTCCATCCTCTGCAGCTGTTATGTACCGCCCCGAAGCCGTTTTGAGTGCGATGGCATAGGGCGACTCTGAAAGCCCACCTCCGGGCCCAGCGGACATTCGGACTCGTGCCAGGGTGCCACAGTGCCATAGCTCACATCGACCCAAAGAATGCACAAAGGTGTCTGCTTCTTCCGTCCAGCGCAGCTTTTTCAGACAAGCATGACGGCCAGCCGTCTCCTGGCCATTCTCACCGACGTCGAAGACCTCCCCTTCGAAAAGCTCCAAACGACGGCAACCGGAGCCTTCCACGAGGGGCTCCAGCTGACAGTTGCGAAGAGGTGTCAGGGGCTGGGGTGTGGTCGTTTGCGTGGTGGTCGGCGCCGCAGTCTCGGAGGTAGATGGGCTCTCTGAAGTTGAAGTACTGACTGCATTGCTGGATGTTGAGGTTGCTGTGGGATTTGCTGTGCTGGTGGAGGTTGAGGTTGCGGTGGTACTTGCGGTAGTGGTGGTCGTCTTAGGTTCTGCCGTTGTGAAGTTTCGCACTCCGGCAGGTACAGAATGCCACTGCTGGTTGCTCAAACCATCAATGCAAGTCCACATGTGGATGTTGGTGCCTCGGCTTCTTGTTTGCGAGTTGGGGTATAGATGCCAAACGAAACTACCAGCTAGAGTGACGGAGATTAGCCCTATACAGCAAGTTTCGACAGTGCAGTCGACTCGCCCTCAGACAATGGAGAGGGAGCATCCATGCAGATGCCGTAGCGATTCTTGACCCTTCCAGTATCCGGATCCCAATCCCACATTTGGTTCTCATTGCTGGCATCGCATGTCCACAAGTGGATGAGCCCCGCAAGAATACTCCTTTGGGAGGCATCCTTGGCGTGCATCATAAGACAATGAACCAGATAGAAGCATAAGTTATCGTGACACTGACAGACGAAGAAATGATGATTCACCACCAATGACCCCAAGCCAAATAAGGCAAGAATCCAGGCATTTGCCGCCCGCATGTCTCAGCAGGCCTGTATCGTTATCATATTCCTGGGCTGGGCTTTGCCTAAGGACACCTAGAACCTTGACTTTCTACGTATGGCAGCAAATTGCACAATCAGGCTAGGAATGATGCCGGCACAACGTTAGCACATCACTGCCGGCACAAGAACCGACAAACTGGTGCAGCATCCATCTCAAAGTCATACAAAAGCCCACCGTACACTTCGGATAGACAAGACCTAACACAGGGCCCAGTTTGCTGAAAACTGCTGAAGCCACAGCAAGGCACCCAGTTCTGCAGGAAGTTGTCAGAATCGCAGGCCTGAAATTCATGCTGATGCTGCAAAGAGAACAAGTTGATTGAACATCGAAACTAAGTGCAACGCCACTACCGAACAAAACTGCGAGGAGAGCATAGTATGCTATATGATCCCGACTCCTCGACTCATGGGCTGCATTCCATATCTCGAGATTTTCTGTGCCGATGCTCTCGTTGCCTGCATGGTGGGGCGGACCCCATTGTAGCCAGCATTGGAGGCTTCCAAGCAGTTGCCCTCGTTGTTCTCGAGCAGAAGGAAGTCATGAGCACGACCTCTGTGACAAGAAATCAGCTACAATCCTGTCCTATTTGCTGCCAGCATCAGAAGAAAAAAAACGCAAACCTACTGCCCACCGGCTCCGCTGCCAGGCGGCTGGTGCGCACCTTGACCTGCTGTGCCTGGCACTAAGACGGGATAGGGTATGCAACTTGAAAGTAGCAATAATGGCAGAGCGAGTGCGAGCAGTCTCCACTTGTTCTTTTGGCAACCTCCAAAACTTACAATCACAATCACCCCGTCAAACCGGCCGGAGCTCCTTGCAGCCCTTGTATGCACGGAAGTCAAATCTAAGACGATCTGCTGCCCGCTACAGACGGCAAGTCCATTCCTGAACATAGCCGACATAGCCCTGACTTTCGGTTATTCGCAATGAAGCAGCTAGGGTTTGTTTCCTGGCCCACCGCCTCTGCGCGTGCTTCGCGTGCCTGTAGCTGCAACAAGGTTGGGCCATGCTGCCTGAAAGGGAAACATCGGCCAAGGACTAGAACAAAACCAAACCACTTGCTTCAAGAACCATCCATGGGCCCAGAATTTCGAAGTCTGCAGAAGCAGCGCACTGCAACAAGGAGCACAAAGGGTACAATGATGTAGAAAGGCACAGCGACACGGTGAGGCTCACAGAGGAAACGGCATGATTCCGGAGTTTAGGGGCTCACACTACTGAAGGAATTGGATCTCTACTGGGGTTGTTGACATAGAATGTGTTAGCTGCATTCGACATGCAGATCTCTTTTTGCCATGCTGGCCGTCAATTTGGGCCACTATCCTTGCTGGTAATATAGGGGCCTTAACAATTAGAATGGGGTTTTGGGGCATCTTATACTATATTTCTAAAAAAGGAACAGGACCCCCCCAAAAAAAAAAAGTTGTAATATAGGTAATTGTGAATTAAGGCCCCTAGAGTACTGCTGCCGCTGTTAATCTTCAGGCTATGCCCTTCGGCAAAGCTGCTGAGCTCTGCATCCTCGCTCGGGGCAGCTGTGGCCGCAGGCGGCCGCTAGGACCAAAGAGAGCAGCCACAGGGCCATGGCTCGGATTTTTGGATCGTCCTTTTTCTTTTCTTTGCAGCTGGGCTCTACGTGTCCGCCAGCATTTTTGGATCGTCCTAAATTTTGGGTTCAGGTTACAGAAGGGCTTGTTGTACCTCAATTTGGCTTTGACGGCTGGTCCACTGCATGCTTCAGTGCAAACCTTGTTCATACCAGCAACCATCGCAATGGTCGTGGGAGGCCTCGTCATGTCATTCTTTGCCTTCATATTCGAGGGCTCCGGGTCTTTGCCCTGCCACTCGAACCTCTGTCTTCAGCCACCAGTCGCATCCAAAGCTCGCGTCTGCAACAGCAATGCTTATGTTTCGAGGCTGCAAACCATTCGCGATAACTCCCTTCAGAAATGTCCATTCCATTCCGTCCATGTCATGTCGGCATGATTGGCTGCCGCAAGTCGATGGTCCAAGAATTTGCCAGTTTGAATTCCGCATAGTTGCGGCATGCTTCCCCATTCCCCCCCATCAGAAGTCAGACTACTTACTTCAGAAAATGCGGGACCAAAGGACCCTGAGCCATGGATGAGTCAGCACACGAACCGTAGGAGGCCCACATCAGCTTTCTATGCCAAGTGCTAACTCTGCCGACACAGCAAGCAAACTGAGCTCTGCAGTTTTTTCGCAACGCTCAGCTTTAGACCGTTGAACTCGAACAGTTAGTTTCGCACTCATTGCACAGCCCCCGGAGTTTAGCGAATGCTTCGAGGCTCTTGGTGTTGCTTGCTCTTTTCAGTGGTGCCGTGGTGCCTCCTGAAACGCCACCACAATACCAATGTGCCGATGCGGTTTTGGCCTCCTCGTCGAATCGACGGCATGCTGCTTCCTGGGGACTGGTCTGGAGATTTTTTGCAGCTGCTGGGACTCGCCGCAAACTTGTGGCCGGCGCTCCCAGTCTTGCCATTGGCGATGATAGGACACTGCATTCTGGGCCAACCGCCAAGACTCCGTCCTTGCAGATCCGATTGCAAGATCCACGACTGACTCTTTGGCAAGGCGGCTGGCCTGGTTCTTGCTGGGCTACTGATGGCAGCTGCAAGAATGCTGCAAAGCTCGATTGGCACAGGCCCCTGCTGGCCAGAAAGGTGCTGTCGAAGGACATCCCGCCTTTTTGGGAGATTCTTTACAGCAGTCCTTCGATTCTGGTCTATCCAGATTACAAGTCTGAAATCTCCCCACTCCCACCAAAACAAGATTTAACTTGCTAGTCAGCTAAGCCTTCACTCGTGTCCCGAGGCCGGTGGTGGCCGTCCTCACATCGAAATCGAGCTAGCCTGCTTCAATCTGACAAAAATCAAGGGGCCGGAACCCTGCCGGGGCTTCGCTCTCTTCATGGTACATGGGTTCACCAGGACTGCGGAAAGCCAACCCTAACTATTTACAAATCCTGCGCCGTGAAGTCAGCCCCTTGCACCAGGCATGATGAAGTTCATTGCAGCCAACTGACGGGCGCTACGAAAAAAAGAGCGGCTACATCCCACCTACGTGTCTTCGGCATGTAGCGTAAGCGAGCTTCTCAACGAAGACCTCAGGTTGTGGCTTTGAACCGGAATTCCGCCTGCGCCAGTCTGAACACCACATGAGTCTAATGAGGCTTCGTGCACGGAAGTGGGCTATAGCCGTTGATGATGAATTAAGGTTCGCCCCGCGGCCGGCAGAAGCTCTGTAAAGCCAGCGGCGGTTGCTAGGAAATCGCTGAATTCCGACAGAAAATCCCGTGCGTCACTGCATCACTGGACCCAGAGGCACTACATGGTCAACAGGTCCAAAATGTGCATGCGCATGTTGGTAACTACAAATATGCATACGTACTTTATACAGTACATGCGAGTGCGCATTTATACACCGATGCCTACGCATAACTGTGTATGCATATGTACATACATACATGTAGTTCTTAATCTAGTCGTCTATCTAGCACATTTATGTATTTGGATGTTAGTCTCACAAACTATTTTCTAGTACTACACTACACAAAACCAGGTCCTGAATGCCTCGCGGGACAAATGATGCATGCCCTCGGATTAACTGGAAAGGCTGGTCACAAGAGCTCCGGCGTGGATGGCCAGAATCCTTGACAACTGGACTCTGGTTACTCGGCTCCCAAACACAACTTGATTTATGCATCATGGAACACATGCATGTTCCTGCATTCATGCGTTGGTGGATTTATGTGAGCATGCTTGCACATGCATGTGGATGTCGACTGCATTTCGGTGCATGGCTTTTACCGTGCATGAGTATGGGCGCGCTGCAGGTTTACGTGACTATGGGTGCACGGATGCATTCACTTCCTCGGGCAAGTAATCGACTCTGCAGGCGTGAAAACAATGGGGTTGTTAGTCGGCATGCGGTGCACAGGTATGTGAATACACGAAAGCTCGGTGTAAGTGATTGTAAGTGCATTACACAGATATCGCGCGGGGGGAATGCAATTCATGCAACAAGGATTGTATGGTGCTGTCAAGGAGCTCTCCCTGCGTGACGGAGCCATGCTGGATCACTCCTTCCTCGTCCACCTCCACCTCCCTGGGGCAACTGCTTTGGTCCCAGCCCTTCTGCGTGTGGAGCGAGGACATGTCGCAATATCGACCCTGGGGCAGCGCGATCTTGAGGCCTGTCAAATCCCAAGTCCCACCAACCCCAGCCACATCCTCATCCTCGTCCTCTATCCTGCCACGCGTGAGTGCGACGAAGCAGTCACTTCCCAGGCGGAAGGCAAGACGGCCGATGCCGACGCCTTCAGTCTTTCCGCCCTCCCACTTCTCTGACACCGCATGTTGTCGACAGGCCTTTCGAAAGTGCATCATGCCTGCCACACCCTGCCATCGGTGTTCACAAATCCACCGCCGCTCTCTGGCAGCCGACTTGGGTAGAGGAGAGACAGTTGGGGCCGGCATGCACTGGGCGTGTCCGTCCTCATCGTAGACAGACTCTGGCGTGCAGTGGTCACCATCCGACTTGTCACAGCCCGGCGGCCCATGGTTCGTATCCCGCCATCCGTAGCCCCCCCAAATCAAAACCTTCTCCCCGAACGGCCAGGACAGGAAGAACTTCTGCTGCTGGTGGAAGGCCAGGCCGTTCTTGTAGGTAGCGATTTCGGGATCGGCATCCTTGCTGCGCCCGTCGTGGTAGGCGAAGGGATAGACGGCCATGTCCTGTGTGATGCCGAAGACGCCACCATCGAGTTCTAGAAGCTCTGGCAGATCCGTGGCGTTCTTGCCCGCCAGCCGATTCCTTGTCTACAATCTGTGATCTAACGAAAGTTGGGTACGTTGGCAGCTTCAGGGAAAGGCATTTACAAAAAATACATGACAATGTGACTAATCACTCGCCGTACAGAAACCGTTGAAATAGTTAAATCTAAGTGAAGACTGAGCTTCACCAAATGCCAACGGTAGGCAACATCCCGGTACAGGCCGACATACTCGGTACGGTCATGTGGCGGATATTCGCCCCACCACTCCTGGTAGACGAGATCCCAGGGGAGACCATTAAGCATGTCCTCGGAGATTGGTGGTGACTGTACCAAGAATTGCCAAGTATTTCTAGCCCATCTGAACTGTTCTTCTTGATTGGTTTTGTAACCATCAGAGAATTCACTTTAGCCCGATTTGATTTGGCTGTCAGCCAACCCTCAATGACTCAAGAACACTACCCTTTTCCCCAAGCTGGGCCCTAAACCCCAAATCCTGTGAACGCTGAATCCCTAAAACCTGATCCCAAAAAGTGCTTCTTAACTTGATGTAAGAGGCCGCCAGCTCATAGACATGATGGTAGATAGCTGCATCCTCAAATGCTCACGTGCTGTGCGTGTGACATGCACACTGATCCTTCACTATATGCCTGCCAACCAAATCCTCTTCATTGCCGAGGACCGAATCCGGAAGTGAAGTGTAAACTGCCAGAAGGATACAGTCCGAACACTACTATTCACTAGTGTTTGCCAACACGCCTGAACCACCCATTGCCTTTAGGACAAGCAGAGAACATGATTTGCAGCTGTGTTGGGTTGACCAATGCAGAACGAATGTGGAGAAGTCGGCCATGACTGCTGACGCATGAGGGGGGGGTGGGGGGGGGGGGTGTTGTACTTGCGCAGAGCATTTCTTGGGAGCATGCTTCCGTGCACCAGCGTGTTATGCCGGCTTTGCCCATGCCTAGGCATCTCCAGCATCAGCGGCTGCACTGCCTCTACAACGATTGTGGTTGCTGTGGCACCACTGCTACAGCAGCGAGGAATCTGGAACTGTGGAACTCACACAACTATGAAATGTTCGCCCGGCCGCCAGTGTCTACTTGTGCATGCATATCCAAACCTGGCTGGTCTCTCGCTCTGCACTTGCCGGCCGGACCACGGGACGACAGGTCAGTTCCAACATGTCCAAGTCACACACACACGACTCCATAGTGCTGAGGTTTCCCAGATCTCATGATGCATCCCCCTCCGCAACAAAACACGAATCGCAGCCGAGCATCCACGCGAAGGGCAGTCACGCCAATGTGAAAGAGCTCCTCATGTTCTGCTCAAAGATGATCGTGCATGTAAACAAACCTATAAGCACAGGAACACACACACACACAGGGAGACATTTATACAGTAGCATTTATACATACATACCTACATACTTGCGTACATACAACATTACATCCATACATACACACACACACATACACTTAGACATACACACATACATACATACATACATACATACATAGCTACATGCATACGTACATACAAACAAACATACATACATAAGTGAACACAGATATACATATGTAACTATGTACACACACGCGTACAGACTACATCCATGCATGCATGCAAACATACAGACAGAAAGCAATTCTACATACGGGCGCACATACATACATACGAGCACAAGGCCCAACTGTACATGCATTCATACATAAAAAGATACGTGACATAGGCATGTTATTTTGCAGCTAGTCTGCATTTCATAGAGCTAACATAAACGAACTTAGGAGGCATAACAACTTGGTATCTAATCGACTGCAGTGTGATCTGATAGAGCACAGCCAATAGGCAAGACAGTTACAATCGACTACGAGATAGGCTATTTAGAAGGATGGAATATAAACTAGAATATACTGTACAATCAATGCATGCCTCTTTTTCCATGTTACGTACATGTATATGAAAAATCATATGCAAACACCGATAGAAACAGAGACAGAGAGAGATGCACATTAATACATATGCATACGCACACGAACGCGCACACACACACACACACACATACACACACACACACACACACATACACACGCACATATACACACACACAATCACACACACATGACAGCTATGCATACGTGTGTTTTTCTCGCCCCATGAACTGTCGACCTTCGTTTTGTATCGTAGATACCTTGACTGCTATTCGGGCAGGTCCGGATTCCATATCGGGGGGGCAGGTCTTGCAAATATGAATATCAATGTTCTAACAGATACATACTTACAGAGATACAGTACATATATACATACGCATGCCAGAAATACCAAAAGATGTATGGAATCACAGAAGAACTATGCACACTCGGGATGTCAGCCAAGGCGATTGCTGACGCCTGCCGCTATAACGCCTCATTTTGTAAACCCAAAGCGGAACAGACCCTTTTTGCAACTGGGCTTGGGGACTAGCAAGATCCTTGCATCACGACCCGACTCTGTGCAGGTGTTCCGCTAAACTCCCAACCGCCTGATCACACCATGTGCGGGCCTCCAGATGCTTGGCCTGCATCTCCCGAACCTCCTTCAGCTCCGTCGCGTAGTCAGGCAGGGCATACCTCTGTGCCAGA